ACAATCTAGGATAAAATTCCAAAATCTTGACTGGCCCACAAGGCCGACCCAAGGCCCTGCCTTCCTCTTTTCTCTGTTTCGTAACTATTTCCCTGCCTCAGAGCCTTTGCATCTCTGCTCCCTGCTTTGTACACACACACACACACACACACACACACACACATCCTGCACGTCCCTTGGCTAACTTGCGTGGATATTCTAGGTCTCAACTCAAATGCCAGGTCACTACTTCTTTGGAGAAATGTCTGAATCAGTCCCTTCACTTTTCCTTCCCAGCACTCACCACACATTTTCTATCTGCTTGTGCAGTGTATCTGATCCACCCACATCTGTGGGCAAGGACTCGTTCCCCTCTGTGTTCCTAATACCCAACCTGGTGCCCGCCACAGCAGGTACTGCATGAGTAAACAAATAGTGAAGGGATGGCAGTCCCCCTTGTGAGCTAGACGTTTTCCGATTTGTTCAGGAGCCGTGGCACTGCTTCACTTCCCGGCTCCGATCCCAGCTCTCAAGTGACCTGGGGCAAGTCTCTGTCCTCTCCCTCCTCCGTGTCCTCTCTGAATGCGCCCGTGGCAGGAGTGGCTATTTTAAATCCCTGAAAATAAAGGCACCTGCACACTGCCTGGCACACTGTATTGGCCGCGACTTTGTGCTTGGTGCTCAGTTAAGCCAACGAAGTGGGGCAAGGAGCCGGGCCCCGGTTCCAGGACCGTCCTGAGCCGTGATCGTGCGCTCACCACAGACGCGTCATCAGCAGGACAAAGCTTAGGGAAACCATTTTGGAGGAAAAGAGGAAGTCACAAAAGACAGCACAGAGTCTTAATTTTAAAGATGAAAATAACCAAAAACAAACAACCATGTGTCTTTTAGAGGCACCTGTGTGGTAAAATTCCACCAAGTAAGTAGATACGAAACAAGTTCCCAAGAGCAGTTGTGCGATTTGGGGAGGCAGCTGTCAGAACCCCAGGACAGTCACAACTGAAACCAGATCAATAAAATCATGTTTAGTAGGAGTTTATTGTGTACAGAGGATCAGTTCGCAAACTGAGAGCTTTCAAACCCAAAACTGATCTGAAGCGTGTGGCACAGGCGTGTTACAGGCGTTTATAATGTGAAAATGGGGAAGTTGCGTAACCTTTACAGCAATTGTTTATTACAGTGGGACTACCCAGACGGCAGGGAGTCCGTTAAACGTGGTCATCCTACACCATTGCTGGAAGATGACCTGAGTTTCTTTTACGATTGTCAGAGGCATTTATAAGAAACAAGCTGTTTCACTTGTGTCTGTGACATGAGCTAGATTTCCGCAGCCTCCATGGGCATTTTCCTGGTGGTGAGGGTGTCTTGGATCACAATTTGGGTGGTGGGTTCACGAGTGTTTTGTTTTTATAGCTTGTAATGAACATATATGTTATGTATGTTTTTGTCAGTATTAAAATAGTTCATAATTTAAAAACAAAAATGGGGAGCGTATAGCTCAGTGGTAGAGTGCGTGCTGAGCACGCACGGGGGTCCTGGGTTCAATCCCCAGCACCTCCATTAAAATAAACCTCATTACCTTCTCTCCCCTCCCCCCCAAAAAGACCTAAAACACCAAACAAAAACCTGTCAGAAAACTACATTATCAGGTGATTTAGATGAGTCTCCTGTTAGCCCTTGGAAGTCTCATAGACATAGAAACCCCCCAGCTGTAAGCTCTTGCAGAGAGTTTGCAGACCCCTGAGGGCACGTCTGTAGACCACCAGTCAGGGAGCGTGGTGCTACCTGAGACCGTCCGGTGTCCGACCAGACCTACGTCTGAGCGGAGGCTCCGGATGGGACACCCTCCCCCTTGAGAGGATACCCTTGCTGCGTGTGGCAGTGGGGGAGGGGAGCACAAAGACCTCAGCACGGTTGCTCCAGCCCCCAGGCCCCTAAACACGAGGGAGGCTTTGTCCCCTGCTCAGTGCACTCCCCTCCCACCTGCAGAGTCAGACAAGGACTGGGTGCTTGATAGTCTTCCCGCTGCCGCCAGGCCCAGCTCCCTCGGTGCTGGGCCCTGCCACGTGTGGTGATGTGGTTCTTGGGTGAGGCTGGAGGGGCAGCTCAGATGCAGGTTCCAGATTGTCCCTGGGGTCTCAGCCACCAAACAGCAGCCGGGCACCGAGGTTCAGCCCTTTATCTGGGAAGGAATTTTCTCTGTCTGCTGTTGTTCCTGGCCCAG